ATCTTTATAGGAAGCCGACATGTGTTGACTCTGAATTTTATTTTAGCCATTTTTTCGGAAATAAGATTGGAATTTTGCAGTCTGATCATTAGGAATATGACGCAAGCGGAAAGTAACCACTAGACTAAAGAGTTCGAACAGTGAAAGATGTATTCTTTGAAAATTATTATACTATTGGTCTAATTGATAATAATATCTCTTTACTAAAGAATATATTTTTAAGACCGAGACTGTTTGGTCAGAGGCAAGCTCATATCTTTTCTTACTTTTTACTTCTTACTTTTGTAGTCATACATTGTAGTCATACATAGGCGAAATAGTCAGAAAAAGGGTGCAGAAAGAGTTTTTAAAGAAACTTTAACCCTTTCTTCGGTTATACCATCTTTTAGAGGAAAATATTGCCTATTATCGAGATCCAGCTGCTACAAGATTATGTGCTTCTGTTTATGAGGCATGCCGTTTTATTCACTAAAATTTAGCGGGGCACAAAAATACTTGTAAACACCGCTGGGTTCAATGTATAAAAATTGCTGAACACATGTCAGATACTGGACATGAGATAGAATAGTCTCAAACGCGTAGGTTTCCTGATTGTGGTATGTCTGATGTTAAAAGGAAAATAAAAGAGTATTGAAATTAGGGGATACGCTGAATGTAAGTAACAGTTGTAGAATGTTGAGTATAAAATGCTAAGCGTTGGTTCGACCTTCATACTGGCATACCTTTCATTTCGTTTGAGAAGGCGGGTGGAAGGGATTCGTGGATTGGCATCACCACATACCGGAGGGCTACCTTGGATTTTTGTCTGTTCAATTATGTGCAGAATTCCTCTAGATTGAATTAGAGAGATAGAGAGATAAAGCGAAATGGTGGAAATCGTCATTAATACTATAGCAAGGAGCGCAGGACCTGATACATTCCACAAGGTCTCCCTGTACTCTATTAAGGACTGATCGTTGAATTTTCCCACAATGAGATGAGTAGACCTCACGATGCCATTGAATTTTATTTAGCCTTGCTTCATAGAAGACTATCTCATTCTAAGTTTTATATATATATATATATATACCAAGATTTCTTTTTCTATTTCCTTATCTATGGGCATTCAATTATTTGCCTGTTGCTGAACTATACCACTGACTGAATGTTACTTTCCTTATTTCTTATCCATTTGTATTTATATTTTAAACTGTAACATTTCCTATTTTAACTATTTAATATTCATAATTCTTATCCTAAAACTTAATTTTTGTCTGTAGAAGTCTTCCTTCGAATTCTTAGAATATCCTACTCCATCGACGACTTGCTCTGGGCAGCATGATTCGGTGGCCAGTAAAGTCTCTTCCCCTCTAGATTTTGTATTTCGCTCTGACCGACCTTGCTCGCAACGTCGAATCAACTCTGCATCATTACTTAGCCAAAACTTGTCTTCTTTTCGTGGTTCGGATTGTGATATGCTACCACTTCAGCCACTCGGTAGTTTCAAAAGAAGTTGTACATCTCATACCGTGACTGATGCTGATGATGGTGATTGCACTGAGTTTTCCACGATTTTATCTCCCACTTCTCGAAATGAACAGACGCCACTTCATCGTACTTCTTTTAGCATCATTCGCACTCCACAGCATTGTCTGGAAAATCACTCTACACTCCTTGCTGGGTTACGACTTTCTGGCTCTGATATCGGCACCCCAATCATGGCGCCATCTAAAACATCATTGCCCTTTCAACCACCCTGGGGCACTAAAGTAATTCGGCCCAACTCATCGTACTATTTAATTTATTCAAATTTCTTTTTTTTAATCTTTTTCTTTGAACATATATAATTGCTCTTGGTATATTATATAGACAGGCAGGATGACCTGAGCATCATAGAATAAAATCCTAAGATGAATTAGCAAACCATCAAAACTGTTACATTTATTCAGAAAAATTAAGCTACCTAGTGAACGGCTCTGAATTTATCTCAGCATGTGTGGCTTTACACTCTTTATTATGCGATTTCGAGGCATATTTGTTCTTAATATTCCCCTTGCTGCTTTGGCATTCTTATTGTTTCACTGGCCTTCGCATGGGTGTTAAACATGGATATGGTTATATCTATCTTATACACTCACTAACTTAGCTTTATTTATGTATCTATTATTTTCAATATGCACTGCAAAACAATTATATTTAGTAGTGGGTCGACCTCGTTGTCGCAACTTGGTCATGTTGTCAGGGCGACTATGTAGAACGCACCTAGTCCGAAGTCGTCTGCCATA